TGATGTGACGATGCATAAACCCAAGGAAGGCACCATCAAATTCTCACATTATAGTGAGATTTTTAAAATCCAACTGTCCCTGAACCTAAGCTTTTGAATCTGTGGGATGTGTGGGCCTAGGTGGAGCCCTCGGGTGAGGGGAAAGCAAGGCCTGGGCCTTCCGGGGTGGCCACCTAGTGCTTGTCCTGGAGCACCCAATAATGGATGTGCTCAGGCCCCCTGGTCGAGGGAATGGAGGTCCCAGGCCCCAAATTCAGGCTGCACAAGCAGCTTCAGTTGACTGCAGGGCTGGGCCTCCTCCTCTTCCTCCTCTGCCAGGGCCCAGAGGGGCGGCCACTGCAGAAGCCACTCCTCCCTGGGAGGAAGGGTCCCGGGGGCTCAAGGTCTGCCTGCTGTCCCAGGGGTCTGGGAGGCTGAGGCAGGAGGACTGAAAGTTCTATTCCAGCCTAGGCAATTTAGCAAGACCTAAGTTGTCTCAAGATTAAATAATAATAATAATAATAATAATAATAATAGGGCTGAGGAGATTGCTCAGTGGTCTAAGCACCTGCCTGGCAAGTGCAAGGCCCCAGGTTCAATCCCTGGTCCTGCACACGATGCAGTCTGAGATGTGTAGAGAAACCCTGTCCAAACCAATAAAGATTTTAAAAAAATTTTTTTAAAAGATTAACTTTTTTTTTTTTTCTGGAACCAGGGGTTGAACTCAGGCCCTTGTGCTTGCCAGACAAGCACTTATTCCGTTGAGCTATCTCTCCAGCCCCTAAAGATTAACTTAAAAACAATTTTAAAAAATAAATTTAAAGAGGGCTGGGGAGGTAGCTCAGTGTGATAAGTCCCCAGTACTAGGGAGAAAAAAAAAAGGGAAGGAAGGAAGGAAAAGGAAAGGAAGAAACAGAAAGAAAGAGAAGGAAAGGAAGAAAAAAAGAAGGAAGGAAGGAAGGAAGGAAGGAAGGAAGGAAGGAAGGAAAGAAAGAAAGAAAGAAAGAAAGAAAGAAAGAAAGAAAGAAAGAAAGAAAGAAAAAAATGAATGAAAGAAAGGCAGGTGTTTGGCCTCAGGGCTACAGAAAACTGGTGACCTGAATGTTAAACCCTGGGCACAGGACGCTCCAGGTGTTCGAAGGCAGCAGGGGACCCTTGTCAGACACGGGTCACAACACAACCAGCCCTTTCAGCTACCTCTGTCATGACAGTCCCTGGGCAGGGGTGGGGCACCTCTATGACACGTGGATGGGCACTGCCTCTCAGAATCTGCTCTCCCAGGAGTTGGGGCCCATGCTGACCTCCTGGAGTTATGGAGACTTAGGGTGATGTGGGGCGCCACACAGAACAGGCACTGAGGCCTTCCAAAGGCCCTTCTGGGCCCTGGAGCCGACGCTGCTCCCTGGACACTGAGGAGCCTCTGGCTGAGGGAGGGGGCAGACACTGGATCGCTAAGCATGGTGAAAAGCTGGTGCTGTTGGGGCCAGGGAGATGGCTCAGTGGAATAAGTGCTTCCCTGGCAAGCGCAAGGGTCTGAGTTCAATCCCTGTTTCTGCCAAAAAAAAAAAAAAAAAAGAAAAAGAAAAACTGGTGCTGCTGACAGTGGCTTCTCCAAGGTTACCTCTGTCTCACCTTTCCAGACCCCTCCGGGGACACAGAGGGACAGGAAGCCTCAGCAGCACTGGCAGGACAGGGGCTTTGGGAGACCAAGGATCCTGCCCCGAGGCCTCACCAGGGTGACCTAGAGGATTGAGGGCTGGGGGAGCCTGTGCTCCAGCTGTGTATCTCTCCAGCCTGCTGAGGCAGGGTCGTCTCCATCACCCCTAGGGCTCGACTCCATTTTGCACTGAGCTACATCCTCAGACATTTCAAATTTTTTATCCAGAGACAGGGTCATGCTAAGTTTCGCAGGCTAGACTTGAACGTGGGATACTCCTGCCTCAGCCTCCCTGAGCACTGGGATGAAAGGTGTGTGCCACCACGCCCAGCTTGCCACCTAGCTCACAGAGGGGATGGGGTCTCCTCGTTTCAGCCAGGTGCGCCGATCCCCACGGGCTGCTCCTGGGGACAGGCGGAGGAGACCCCATGGCTCACACACAGAGGCCGCACGCGCCCTGCCCTCCCGCCGGCCGTGCCTACGTGGCTGTGCGGAGCTGAGCACTGGGCCTCGGCGGCCTGGAGTCTGTTCTCAGCGACCAGGAGCTTCTCCCGCAGCCGCTCGGCCTCCTGCTTGCTCTGGGCCTCGGCGCGCTGCAGCCGCTCGTAGTCCAGCATCTTCCGCTCGGCCAGTGCGATCTGCTCCTTGAGGAACTCGATGGCCTGCGCCTGGCCTCGGTACTCCACATCCAGCCCCTCCAGCTCCTGTGCGCGCAGCTCGGCGTCACGGCGCCCGTCGCGGGCCTCCTGCAGCTCCAGCCGGTGCTGGGCGGCCTGGGCCTCGAGCTGGGCGCACCAGTGCTGCCGCAGCCCCGCCAGCTCTTCTTGCACCTCCTGCAGCTTCTGCCGCAGGCCCTCCTTCTCCTTGGTGTGCACGGCCGTCTCCAGGTCGTGCTTGGCCTGCAGGTTGCCCAGCTCCAGCTGGTGCTCCATCTTGATGCCCTCCAGGACAGCCTTGAGCTCACCAATCTCCTTCTGCTGGGCGCCGGGGCCCGAGTTCAGGGTGGCCTTCAGGTCCTCCAGGGACTTCTGGTGGTCGGAGGCCAGCGAGTCCAGCTTGGTCTTCCAGTTGTCCATGAGGCCCATATTCTCACTGGTGGCCTGCTGCACCTTGGCCTTGAGGTCGGCCACCTCCTGCGCATACTTGTCATTGGCAGCGCGCAGCTTGTCCACCTCGGCCTGGTAGGCCTTCAGGGCTGCCTCGTACTTGTCTCGCAGCGCTCCGCTCTCTCGCCGCTGCTCCTGGGAGGCAGACAGCAGCCGCTCCCGCAGCCGCTGTGCCTGGGCAGCCTCGGGGTCATCGGAGGGCGGGGGCCCGGCATGCAGCAGGCACTGCTGCAGCTGCTCGATTTCGCCACGCCGCAGGCTCAGCTCCTCCTCCAGCTGCAGCACTCGAGACTTCTCCGCCACTGTGGTCAGCTGTGGGGAGAGGGGCAGGTGTGAGTGGCCCTGAGTACAGAGGGTGGGAGGAGAACACCCACTCCCACCCGATGCATCTGTGCTCCCCACACCCCTGTGCAACCCAAAGGCATGGGAGCCACATGCCCCTTCCATCCTAGGCAAGAGAAACTCCCTTTCAGGTGATGGCTTCTGGGAAGCTCGCGTTAGCACTCTTGTACTGCTGGGGATGAAACCCAGGCTTTGCCCACGCTGGGCACATGCTCCACCACTGAGCTATATCCCAACACTTTTGTTAGTTTTTTGAGGTACAGTCTCACTATGTGGTCAGGCTGCCCTAGGACTCACTAGGCAGCCCAGGCTAGCCTCAAACTCAGTGGTCCTCCTGCCTCAGCTTCCCAAGTGCTGCGATTGTAGGCACACACCACCCCAGCCCTCTTAATTTCTTCTTCTTCTTTTTTTTGTTTTTTTTTTAATTTTGAGGGTTTCACGAAATCACCCAGGCTGGGCTAAAACTTGTGATTCCCCCCTCCCTCACCTTCTAGGAGCTGTAAGGACAGGCTTGCATCCACACACTGACTAGTGCTTTTTCTAACTACTGGCAGTGCTGGTGATTGAACCCAGGGCTTCTTACATGCCAGGAAAGGCTCTGCCACTGGGCTGCAGCCTGGTCCTTCATGGCATTTATTTAGACTTTTACAAAAAAATTTATATTATTATTGATTTATTTATTTGGTACAGGGTCTTGCCACAAAGCTTGGACCCATAGTGATCCTGTTGTCTCAGCCTCCCCAGCACTGGATAATAGGCATGTGCCAGCATACCTGGCTTCAGGAATGGAACAGGAGACCTTGCCAGGCAGGCAATTAGGCTGCTGAGCTATCTTCCTAGCCTCTTCTTTAGTCTTTTTGAAACAGGGTCTTTCTATGCAGTTCAGGCTGGCCTTGAGCTCACTCTGTACACAAGCTCAAATTCACAAGGATCCTCCTACCTCAGTGCTGGGATTACAGGCCTGCAAAACCACACCCAGCTTATTTTTCACTTTCATGTTATTTTTATTATTTATTTTGTATTTTCATGTTAGTTTTAAAGGGCAGAGGCCAGAGTAAATTTTTTATCTCTCTGTATTGAGGCACTTGGCAGAATGGGCAGATACAAGAGAGGCCAGTTCAAGGAGGAGACTGAGGGAGGGTGGAGCTTCGACCTGTGAGCAGAACAGAATAAAGGTGCCCCAGCTGCCAGAAGCACCACTGTCATCAATGTCATAGATCCAGAAAATATATTTTTGTGGATGGGGAGATAGCTCAGTTGAATAAGTGTTTGCTTGGCAAGCGCAAGGACCAGAGTTCAATTCCCAGCTCTGGAGAAAAAAAAAAAAAAAAAAAAAAAAAAAAAAAAAAAAAAGAAAGAAAGAAAATATATTTTCCCCTTTTTCTTTTCTGAGACAAGATCCTTGCTATGTAGTTCAGGCTGGCCTTGAACTCACTATGTGTGGCCCAGGCTGGTCTCAAACTAACAAGAATCCTCCTTCCTCAGCCTCCCAAGTACTGGGATTACAGACATGAGCCACCATGCCTAGCCAGAAACTACATATTTTTTATTTGATTTGATTTTTTGTTGTTGTTGTTGTTGTTTATTTGGGTCCTAGGGACTGAACTGAGGACCTTGCGCTTGCCAGGCAGGCACTTAAGCCACTAAGCTACCTCCCTGACCCAGAAAACTTTTACAAACATTTCAAACCTTTACAAACTTGAAAGTTTTTGTTTGTGATTATTCTTTTGCTTAACACATTACTTTTTTCTTTCCAGTACTAGGGATTAAACCCATAGCCTTTGAACTGGGTCCTATCACAAGGCCTCTCTGAGAGAGGGGCTCGCTAAATTGCCCAGGCTGGGCTTGAACTCGGGTTCACTCATTTTTTCCTTTCCCTTTGTAATTTGGCTGAGGTTAGACCAAATCGCCTCCCTTGCAAGGGCTCCAATCTGGCCACTGTTCCTGGATGGGGTCCTGTACCCAGCCCTGGTACACAGGAGCAGGCACTGCAAGAGGTCGCACAAGCCCGGGGCAATAGCCAGGGCATGCACAGAGCCTTGTGCGTCTCCAGAAACCCACCGGCAGGCACTCGCCCCGCTTTTGCGCTGCAGCCACAGGCAAACCCATGCTGCTGGTCTGGGCTTCCTGCTGTCTATGTGCAAACTCCGCATGCCTGCGGCAGAAAGACCTGAACGGGTGGTGGTGGGGGGCAGCGCATGTGCAGTGGGCACAGAGGGCCCGCTAGGTCCGCGGTGTGGATCACAGACCACGCCTGGCACTTCCAGGCAGTGCGCTCCTGGGGCTCCCCAACCTTGGGGCTGCCACAGTCCCATCCACTCATGAAACCCATAAAACTTTCCCAAAGTCTCACTCCCCCACCCCCAATACTGGATTTGATCCCAGGGCCTACATCCCTATTAATTAATTAATTAATTAATTTTTCAAAGTTTTATTGATAAATTATTTATTGACAGGGTCTCACTAAGTCACTAAATTGCCCAGGCTGGGCTGGAACCTGTGACCCTCCTGCCTTAGCCTCCCAGCAAACTGGGATGACAAGCATGTGCCACCACACCCAGTTGCCCTGGCTATTTCCTGAGTCCAGGAACTCAGTCTGGCCCTTCCAGCCTCCAAGGAGGGGCCCCACTGGGCAAGAGAGCCCTGGGTCTGCAGGTCCCACCCCCTGCCCTTTCCAGCCTCCTCAGGCTGGTGGTTCTGGATACAGGGCATCCCAGGCACCTGAGGCAAGGGAGGGAGCCTGGCAGGGTCCCCTGGGGCTGCTCAGCAGGGGGGGCATGGTCCCAGGGAGCCAGGCCCCTAGAAGCATCACGTGACATTGAAGGCTAAGAAGGTCTCCAAACCTCCACCTCCCTCTTAGATGGGGCTCAAAAGAAAAAAAGCAACGATGACAGCAGCCCAGGTTGGGTCGGTCAGGATAGAGGCCGAGGGGCGGCAGCCGGCAGACGCGTTACCCTGTTGTCCGCCAATTCCCGGAGCAGCCGCTCCGCCTGCGCCTTCTCCAGTAGCAGGCTCTGCTCCAGCTCCCCAATGCGCGCATGCTCCAGCTGCGTCTGGGTCTGCTCCGCCCGCGGACCGGGCAGGGGGCGTTGGGAGGGGCAAGGGGAAGAGAGGGCCGGAGGCGGAAAGAGGGAGAGGGAGAGAGAAAGAGGAGGCGTCATCTTCAGTGTAAAGACCAGAAGGGAGAGCAGAGCGACAAGCAGAATTGCTCAGGAAAGAGAGGAGGCTGGGGTCGGTGCGTGGAAGGCAGAGGAGGCTGCGGGGACCCCGAACAGCTCCCGCTGGGGTGGCAATGGGCACCCCATCTCCCCCTCCACCCCCAGGCCAAGCATCCTCCTGCAGCCCCTGGGGAGCCTGAGCGCACAGTAGACACAGGCCTGGGCCTTGGGGGGTGTGGGTGATACCCCAACTCCTGACCAAACAGGCCTGTGCTGGACAGGAAAAACCCAGGAAAGAAAGATTTTCAAAAAGAAACCCAGGCCTGGTCCGAGCTGGGCTCGCAGCTGCCCACCCACCCTGGGCCCTGCAGAGGCTGCTTGGCCTGTGGCAAGCACAAGGGCACTTTTGTCCCCACGTCACAACGCCTCCTTCATCGCTAACAAAGCCCCCCATTCTCAGGGTGTTGAGCTGGCATCTGCCTTCGAGGGAGGAGGCAGACGAGGACTCTGACCAGGCACCCCCAGCTTGGAAAACAGGGTCATCTTGGGCAGAGGTGGGCCACACTGTAAAACAAACCCCAGTCCCTTGTGGATGTGGTAAACTGAGGCACATAACCCTGTACCCCTGGATTCCACCAACAGCAGACTGAAAATGTTAAAAGAAAATTGTGCCTGCTGAGCAGGGCTGGGCCTCTGTCCTTATTGTTATCCCTAAAGAGTAGAGTGTGAAGTTGTCTACCAGGGTCCGTGCATTCCAAGGATGGGGGCGGGCATTGGGTCACGGAACCAATTCCTCAGACTCCAAGGGTCAGAGACAATGGCACTACACGCTCCCTTTTCATTCCCATGGGGTCTGCCCCTTACAGCAGCACAAAGCAACTGACTGCCTGGGGACACCAGTCAGGTAACAGAGGTTTGAGGGGTGTGTGTGTGTGTGTGTGTGTGTGCGTGTGTGTGTGTGTATTGGGGACTGGCCCAGGGCCTTGTGTCCACCAGGCCAGTGCTCTACCACTGAGCTACAGCCCAGCCCTTTGAAAAAAATGTCTTGAGACAGGGTCTCACTAAATGCTGTAGGCTGGCCGTGATCTCCCTGCCTCAGCCTCCCAATTACCTGGGATTACAGGCATGTGCCACCATACCTGGCTCAGCAGCTAGTGTTTGTGTTTTGTTTTCTTGAGAGAGGTCTTGCTAAGTTGCCCAGGCTGCCCATGAACTGTTATCCTCCTGCCTTAGCCTCCAGTAGCTGGGATCGTGGGCATGGACCACCGTGCTCGGTGCAAGGGCTTGCTTATTTTTAATTAACTAATTTGTTTTGGGTTTTTTGAGACAGGTTCCAGGCTGGCCTCAGACTGCTGGCAATCCTCCTGCCGCAGCCTCCAGAGTGCTGGAATTATTGGTGTGTGCCACCATGTCCAGCTGGGGATTGTTTTACTAATGACAGGAGTGTCCTCAAGACGCTGGACAGACGCATCACACACCCCTTGGTTTTCCTGAGGCTTTAGCACTTTCAGCCAGTCCTCAATAAATAGCTGATTCTGGTTCATAAAATAGGTTTGTCTTGGTAAAATGGGTTTCCCTGTATTAATGAAGGATCGAGGTGGCTCTATGCAGGTAACAGCACACAAAGCCAAGGTGACTGGGTCTGCAGATGTCCCAAGGTGGGGAAAAGTGGGCCACAAAGCGTGTTCTTAAAGGAGCCATCCACTCCTATGAGGGGAGGACTACCAGGTACAAAGAACAGCAGAGGTAGGACACGTACTGGGGAGGAAACCCCTATGTCTGCGGTGTCACAAATAAGCAGCAGGGATGGGTGTGAGCCAGGGCTGGACAGGGTGGGGTCTGGGTCCTCCGGGCCACCATCCAGGGCCTGAATGTTACTGAGTCACAGCACTGCTGATGGGAACTGGGAAAGGAACTGGCCAGACTGGATTCACTTTTTCATCTTTCTCTCCTTTTCTTCTTCCCTTTCTTCCTGTGGTACTGGGAATTGAACCCAGGACCTTTGCACTGAGCTACACCCCCAGCCTTTTGTATTTTTGAGACAAGGTGTTGCTACATTGCTAAGTTGCCTGGGCTGGGCTTGAACTTCGATCTCCTGTTACTTCAGCCTCCCAGAGTGACAGGCGAGCATCAGCACACCTGGCTTTCACTTACATGTCTAAAAATCTCTGGTCACAGGTCGCCTGGGGTTGAAGGGGAGCTGTCACCTTGGTGGGGGGCTGGGCCAAGATCAGCCCCAAGCTGACAATACTATGTATTTATTAAGCTATTTTTCAAAAGACTGCTCTGCGCCAGGGATATAGCTCAGCGGCATAAGCACCTGCCTGGCAAGCACAAAGTCCTGAGTTTAATCCCTGGTACTGCAAAAACAAAAAAACAAACAAAAGCCTGTTCTGGCACCAGTGTGGGCAACAGAACCCTGAGGAATGAAGAGGGAGGGAGCGCCAGGCAGGGGCTGCCAGAGTGGCTCATGGAGGTGGCCATGGCAATGGAGATTGCTTTGGAGCTGAGATCAAGAGGTTTTCTGATGAGGGAGTGGGGGACAGGAGTCCTAGCTGTGGGGAACTGTGACAGTCATGGGAGCAGCTCCCCAGAAGGGAGCAAGAAGGGATGAAGGAAGGGTGAGAGATGGGGAGACCTTGACATCTGGCCTGGACAGGTTGTGTCGGGGACACCACAGTGCACTCAGCGGCACTCCAAGGCCTCTGGAGATCTTTTCACAAGCCAGGACAGAGGCAAGGGACAGATCTTCCCTCAGATTCTACAAGAAGCCAGCCTTGTTCAGCAGCATCTTGATTTCATACTCTGACATCTAGAATGGTGATAACAGAAATGCATGTTGCTTTCAGCCACTCACCACGGTGGGATGGGGGGGGGGTGGCTCTGGCATCTTCGAGGCCCACCAAGGACACTGGAAACCACAGACTGATTGCATGCTCGCCAAGAAAGGGTGGAAGAGGCTACAGGGCCCAGCACACAGAGGCCAGGAAGTGAGTGGCGCCAGCCAGGAGGCTGAGAAGATGGGATGGGGGATGGGAGGATGGTTAAGAACTTGGGCTGTGAGATTATCAAGAGATGGTATGGTATAGCCCAAGGAGCCTGGGAAGTCATGGAGTGGTTCTGCTCTATAATTTTGACTTTTAAGATGGGTGAGGAGAAGCAGGACTTGGGGCCAATTTGCTTCCAGGTTACCACGAATAAGGTCTCAATTAGGTTTGTACAATAAAAAATGGCCCTTCAGGATGAACTAGCAGTCTGTCACTGTCTATCCCGCCTCCTGCCTCCCCTAGTCAGACCTGATTGGTCAGGTGTGGACACCTGATCCAGAATCAGCCAGGCCATTGGCTAGCCCAAAACCAATCAGATTCTCTCGTGAAGATAACTGGTAAGGGATGGGCAATGGTGACCAGGCAACCTGGAGAAGGGAGTTGCAAGTGCCGAGAGGAGATACAGTGAGAGAAAGACAGGCAGGGAGACCTGGAGTCATAGACAAGGCGGAGGCAGGAGGGAGGGAACGAGGTGAGCTGGGCTCCTGGAGCTGTTGCTGAATCCCCTGTCTTGGGGAGCTGTGAATTTCCCTGCAGCCGCTCAGCAATATTCCTGGTGTACAGGCGCTGGCGGGAGGGGATGGTTCTGGCAACCACAGGTGCCATTCTGGAAGTCCACCCGGCCCCTGCAGGAGGACAGCTGCCCATCAGAAAGCCCCGCAGACAAAACCACATGATCTGTCTCTTTGCCTGTGAGAGGCACATAAGTCAGAAGAGCCTGCACCGGGCTGAGGTCCTGCATGTGACATTCTGGCATCAGAACCTGCTCCAGTCTGGGTGGAAGCAGCAAGCACGACCTTGGGCAGTTCCACCTCCCTCCCCGGGAGGCCTCCAAGAGACAGGCAGAAAACTGGCTCTCACGGTGTCAGAAACTGTGGATTCTGATCTGAGCCCAGAAATGATCTACTGAAGTGACCCCCCCAGAGGCAATCACCAGGGTGCTTGGCAGAAATGCAGACTCCTGGGTTCCACCCAAGTCTGCTGAGCTGGAGCTGCTAAGGCTCAACACCCTCCTTTTACATATGAGAAAACAGGTCAGAGGAGGAGAAGAAGCTGTCCAAGGCCTCTTGGGCCCAGAACCAGAGTGTGGGGCCCACAGACCTTGCTGTTCTCCACCCTGTCAAAACCTTGGGGCATCCTTGACCTGTGGCATCTCCACAGGAAGGTGTCCTGTGGTCTCTGCATAGTTGGGGGCTGTTTTAAGAATCACTAGGGCAGCCCATCCCCTTGGCTGGAAGGGTGCCCACTGTGCCAGCCCCGTGTGTGTAGTGACAGAACTCAGGGGCTAAAAGCATGATGCAACCTGTGGCTGGCTCAGGGGCCAGGAGTTCCAGCCCTAGTCCCTGAGGCTGTGAGCTGGTCCAGGACTTGGCTGAGTCTCATCTTCCTGAGCCTCAGCTGTCCCATCCACACACTCTGTGACTCCCCCAGCTACTCCCAACCACATTAGACCTGGAGAACAGGTGCAGAAAAGCCCAAGGGACAGCATAACAGGCAGGAAGCACAGAGCTCCCAGTGACTGTGTCCCCCAAGGCAGCACTGTGTCCTCACTGCCCCAGCTCCATCCTGTTCACTCCCTAGTCCCCGACACAGGGCCCCTCTGTACTCAGGAGCAAAGCCATCCACCTGTGACAACTGTTGGTCCCCTGGCCTCTCTCCCATACTCCCAAGGTGTGACCTTTGATCCCAGAGTGACTGCCTGGGCCTCATGGCCACGTGCCTGGCAAGGGGGCCTGGGGTACAGCCCGAGCCCCACCCACGGTTACCTCCAGGTCTCCCTTGGTGATGGACTCCTCCTCCACGCGGAACTGCAGGTCCTCCACCTTCCTGCAGGGGAGAAAGGGTTGAGTGCGAGCTCAGGCCCTGGAGGTAGCCATGCAGAGGGGCCCAGCCCAGCAGAGCAGGACCCACATGGAGTCCTATGACTGAAAGCTCAGGGCCTTTTGGAAGCCTGTAGACCTCCCACCTTCCCACCCACTCTAAACATGATCCTCCTCTTCCCCAGGACCTAGGGAATAAGGGACAGTGGCTTGGGGACAGAAGCACTGGACTGACACCAAGACATTTTTTTTGGCCTTTTTGAGAAAGGGTCTTGCTATATACTTCACACTGGTCTTGAGCTCACTTTGTAGCCCAGGCTGATCTCGAACTCACAATGATCCTCCTTCCACAGCCTCCTGAGTGCTGGGGTTACAGGCGTGCACCATCATGCCTGGCTTCAAGACCTATTTCCAAAGCTGCTCCCTCTGGGACCTCCTGACAGCGTGCAGCACAGCCATGAGGCAATGCTCAGAAAGGCCAGCCGCCTGTCCAAGGTCCCATAGCAAGTCCAGGGTGGTGAGTGGCACCTGCACCCAGGCCATTCCTGAACACAACTCCCATGATGTCGTAAAGAATTGCTTGTCTGCAGTGGCTGCGTCACCATGGAAACCAAATGTGTGGGCTCAGGCAGATATAAATAAGCCCCATGTCCCGGAGAGGGACAGAAACATTCGCCTGTAGAGACTGCAAACAGACTGAAGCAGGGTGCCAGGAGGGGCTGAGCCAGGCAGGGGTTGCGCCAGTGGCAGGAAGGACGCCAGAAGCCTCGTGTGCTCCCAGGATGCAGGAGGCAGTCCCCCAGGTCAGGCCAGGATGTCCCAACCCCAGGAACCCTGAGGTAGCTGGGGCTCTGGGGAGGTTCCCCCCACAGCATTTTTCTGTGGGTTTCTCGAGTCCCTGACTTGGCCAGGAGCTTCCATGAGGCATGAGGGAGAAGCGGCCTCAGAAACACATATGGACACAGCCTCAGCTCACCACTGTGGCAGGGCACATGAGCTAGCGGCCCTCGCCAGTTCCTTCCCTGCGATGGGTCTCAGTTTCTCCTCTGTGACCATGACAATGATGGCAGTGCCTGTCCCAACCAATGACTGGACTGGAGGAAGCACAGGTGCAGAGCCACTTCCAGGCATGTGAAGGGGAATTGAGCCCCAGACAGGACTTAGTGCTCCTTGCGGGGGGCTGCGCAGGGCTGCTCTTGGCTGGACCTGGCACACATGCAGGTGGGGACACTGGGCCTTATATGCATGGCTCCCCATGCTCTGCTTGGTGTGCCACTGGCCAGGCTGGAGACAGCTCTGAGTCTTTCTTTCTTTCTTTCTTTCTTTCTTTCTTTCTTTCTTTCTATCTAATGCATTGGGTACAGGGTCTCACTATGCAACTTGAAATTATAGTGATCCTCCTTCACTCTTTTATTTTTTTATTGCTATACTGGGGACTGAACCCAGGGCCTTCATAATGAGCTACATCCCCAGCCTTTCTTTGAAACAAGGTCTCGCCAAACTGCTAAATTGCCCAGGCTGAGCTTCAATTTGCCAACTTCCTACCTCAGCCTCCCAGAGTGCTGGGGTTCCAAGAGAGCACCACCATGCCCAGCTCATCACCTTGGGAATCCTCCCAACTGCTAGGAAGGACAGGACCTGCCCGCTACCACTTGGGTGCTCAGAGGACCAAGGCCCACAGATCAGTCACAGTCCACAGAGACATAGCCAGTAAAGGAGCAGATGCAGGCCTGGGCCGGGGCTGTGTATTCCCAGACCCAAGGCTCTGCACGCACCTGCGTTCCTCCTCCAGCTGGTTGGACAAATCCACCTTCTCCTTGCGCACGCTGTCCACCAGCAGCCGCGCCCGCTGCAGCTTTTCCTCCGCCTCTGCAACATACTGGGCCCGAAAGGGCCGTGGCAGGGTCAAGCAAGGGCGAGGCCAGGCAGCCCCCCACTGGGCATGGACAGTGGGCCTCACCCAGGGGACCCAAGAGCCGCCCCACCTCTGCTGTTGCTGCTGCCTTCACTCTAAGGGTCGCTGCTATCCAGGGGTAGCTCCTCTTACCGCATGCTGGTGAGCCTGGCTTGAGACAGGTTTTTTCTTTTGTATTGGGGGCTGAACCCAGGGCTTCTGCATTGAACCACATTCCTGCCCTTTTTTTATGGGACAAAGTCTTGCTAAACCATGGGCTGAGCTCAAACTCTCATCCTCCTGCCTCAGCCTCCCACGGTGCTGGGATTCTGGGCATGGGGCACCACAAGCCACATGCACATCTGCGCACAGGAAGGGCTTGGAGGGAGATGCGCGGGTGCCGTTGGGCGTCCTCCGCACGCCCGGAGCCCTCCCACGGCTGCGCAGGGTGTAGGCCCCGCCCCCGCCGCCGCCGCCGCCG